GAGGATAGATCTCTTTTGCTCTTCAAGTTTGCATCGGATCGCGCCAATTAGAAATACGATGAGAACGATAAAGTTCATAAGTCGTACATTCGAGCGAGCTAACGCAAATAGCTGGAAAATTGCCGTATCGTGAGCCAAGTTTTATGAGGGATACGTATTCGTATATGTGTTCCATTTCTTCTCGACGATAATTTAATATAATAAACCCGACCGTATATACTACAGAGAGTTAAATATTCTCTCAACTTGTATAAAAATATTCCCTATATAGCGATAAAAATAAAATTCTTGTCGAACGTACACAAAGATAAAATAGAAATTTACAATAAATATCGATACGCATCTCTTCTTGCGAGAAAATGCGAAATAATTTATATTTTTTTCAAAAAAAAAATTTGTTGATGAAATTTTATTTCACGTAGAACATATATAAAATGATTAATTGAAATCTATATCATCACGTATACAATCGTAATGTAAAGATCTCTGTAGAATTTATTCTCGAGGCAAGAAATACCCTCGACGAGGCAAAAAGTTCACTTCCGCGAAATTTGCGCGGTTCTTAATGCCGGTCGATGTTCCGCGCACGTTTCTTTCCCTATCCGACATTTCCTCGGCTCTAACGACAAGATTGCTTAATGACCAGGCGAACAGGGAACCCGAAGGAAACACGAATCGCGCGAGGAGCGCCGCGGAAGATCGATTTGTTGAAGGGGCTCTCTTATATAGACGTCGAGAGAGAGTGAGAGTGCGCGAGTGCGCGAGTGCGAGAGAGAGAAAGCGATCAGCGAGAGAGAATCTCATTTTAGCCTGGGTCAAATTTGATCTCGCGTTGCCTCGAATAAGTCGAGCGAATCGCAAACTGAATTTTCCATGGTTCGACGATGACCCGCGTAGCCCGCAGGGTTCCGGATCGCGACTTTCGTTTGACCCTTTGAGAGTTCGCCGCATTTCGCTGCATTATTACGGGAAGATTGTGACATCGGGAATTAACTTACCTTTGTCTGTATTTCTGTGCTTACAACAGCCCCATTCCGAATCATTAAACAACTGACATAACTATAGGTATTTGTCTTGGAATATACGCGCAGAGATTAATTACTCTAATTTTATTTTAATTAATTAGTTAATACTTTCTACGAAACGTTGGTTCTGTCGCTTTTAACTTAATTTCCGTTTCACGAAAATGTCGAGTTCTTTGTTGATAAATAATATAATATTGATTGTGTACATAAAAAGAGACGAATCTTTAGGAACTCTTAAGAGATGAGCAATTCGTTTTAATACAGATGGATAAGAGAAGCTGCGATTTCGGTTTTATTTCAAGGAATATAATAGATATTTGTTTTTACGAATATTTTTCGGATTTTAAAACATTTAATTGTTTGCTAACATTTTTGTTGGATTTGAATTTAATTTCCGTTTTACGAAAATGTCGAGTTCTTCGTTAATAAATAAGATAATTGATTACATATAAAAAGAGACGAATCTTTAGGAACTCTTAAGAAATGAGCAATTCGTTTTAACAGATGGATAAAAGAAGCTGCGATTTCTGTTTCATTTTCAGGAATATAATAGATATTTGTTTTTACGAATATTTTTCGGATTTCAAGTAAATTTAATTGTTTGCTAACATTTTTGTTGAATTTTTTTCATTAAATTGAATTAAATTCTTTTTTAGCTGTGTATATTATTAATTATTACGTTCGTATAAAATTAATTAGCTTTGGAACGCGCGTTAATAAATCTTTTTTATAATATATGTATCTAAAAATAATAAATTGACTTATTTGCGAGCATATTTTAAACTTTGCAAATGGGGCTTTGTATTATTCATCTACAAATTTTATTTAAATTCATGTTTCGCTTTTGTATATAAACTTTTATAATTTCTATAACTTTTGACTAAAAAAAATTTACAAAAAGAAATAACCGCAACGAAAAAAAAAATAATTATATTAATTGTCATATCAATCTCGATGCGTCTAAATTCTAAAACGTATGACACGTGTAAAACATGCGAATTAGACAAAATCCGAAAAAATTGCAGTTGTAAAAGTAAAAAAGAACCGTACCATCAATGTGACAATAATAATTGATACATGCTAAAGCTGGAAACGAATTGTTCAGGTTCAGTGATACATTTTAACGAAACTATTCAACATTTTTCTATTACATCCAATTATATATTTCCAACTAAATATTTTCCATAATTTTTTTCTGTGAGATATTATATTTTCCGCAAATGTATTATAAAAAATACACGACTATTTGATCAGCGAGAGATGACACGATGATATTCGCACACGTGCATTTGAACGTGTATCGATCATCGAACTTGATAAGGGTTAAACCGCGGTGCTCGAAAATAAAACTACTTCAAGACAGAAGGGAGAGAGAGAAAAAACGAAGGGATGAGCGATGAGGATAAAAAAATAAAAAGGCGGTTTAAAAATGTAAGAAAAGAAAAGCAAATTTTTCGATTGTCAGGGTGTCTAGCGGTCAGGGAATTTTATAAATTTAGAATTGTCAGAGAAAAGCAGGTTTTAATATTTATCTGGATTTTTTCATATTATTCTACATTTGTCTCAATAATGTGAAATTTTTTATTAAATAATTATAAATTTTTCTTTGACTCCTAGTACGCTAATTTTCTGTGTTGTTCATTGTCGTATTATATCATGTAAATTATATATTTGGAAAAAATAATACTAGTCAAAAAGTCAGAGAAAAAATGAATTTCTGTTCTTGGAAAATTTGCAAAAGTCAGTGAATTTTTTTCATCGAATCTGCTTGACACCATGGATTGTATTTGCTACAAATGATTTTAATGTAAAATATGCATTTGAAATTATAATCGAAGCGGGGAAAAAATAAAGCGTCGAATATATCGATTAATCGATAGCACCATCGCCCATCCCTGCAGCAGACACGAGCTGATGGACTCGAGAGGTAGGGTGAGGCCGTCACGGGGATGAACGTATGAGAGAAATACTGAAAGGGGAAAGTTCGAGGTCGTCGGAAAGTACGAGAATTCCGCGCCGGAAGGGACAGAAAGAAAAAGGGCGAAAAAGTGTTTTTCTTAGAAAATGTACCGAGTCGGTTTGAGGCTGTCAATGGAAAACGAAGAAAATATGTTTGCATGTATATATGAATGTTCTATCGTGTATGTGTGTGTCTGTGTATATCAGTTGTCGATTCGCGAAAAGCGGAAAGAGTATCTTCAGACGAATGATGAATCATGAAATATAAACGAGCAGGGAATAAAAGCGGAGCCTATCGGTTCTGCATACATGACCGAGCATGAATCGGTCAGAAAGGTGCCATTAGGGTAGAAAATCTAGGGTGTTTCAAAATCATCGAATGTTGTATAATCACGTAATTATTAAAATAATCTTCTATATCAAATGGCTTTCATACATTGTTTCGAATTTAAACGCTTAGTTTGCATACTTTGCTTAAAGGCACCGATTCGAGAATCGAGAAATTTTCTATGCAAAATTTTATTAGTTCTAAAAATTCTATTTATTTGAAATTGCGTAAAGAAATATAATTTTCGCGCAAAGCGTAATTTACTAAAAGTATTATATTATATTTTCAATCGTCAATTACTCGAAAAAAGTTACAAAATACCCAACCCTTTAGTATAAAGAATATAAATTTACTTCAAAAAATACATAGAAAATAAAAAATCTATAAATTTTACAAGAATCAACAATCGTAAAAATTTCAAACCACAATATTGATGGATTTATCCACCGGTTGCAAAATTTCTAAAATATGTATATATGAAAAGCTCTCCAAGCATACATTGTTTAAACCCTTAGTTTGCATATGTCTCTTACAAACTACGTGAATCCCAAGTTCCGAGTTCGTTAAGGCACCAACTCGAGAATCGAGAAATTTTAACGATTCACAATGACGCTCGATTATTCATCGATTCAGCAATCAGAATTTCGGTCAGAATGTCAATCGCAGACTGACTCTGTGGGCAAATGCAAAGTGCGCGCGTTTCATTCTTTCCGTTTTCGCATCAGTGAAGATCAAACCGAGAGAAAGAGAGAGAGAGAGAGAGAGAGAGAGAAAAAGTCAACGAATTTGTGCATGTATGTGCGTATGTTTGTTGTGCGTGTATGTACATGTGTCAATATGCAGAGAAAAAGAGACAGGGTGTCTAGCGATCAGGGAAATTTGGAAAACCAGGCATTGTCAGGGATTTTTATAAATCTGGAATTGTCAGGGAAAAAGTCGGGAAATTTTATTATTTATCTAGATTTTTTCGCATTATTCTACATTTGTCTCAATAATGTGAAATTTTTTATTAAATAAATATAAACTTTTTCTTGATAACACGCTAATTTTCTCTGTTGTTAAAAATCGATTCATCCATACAGCGTGTTCGTTAATTTATATTTTCATCGTCGTGTTATTTTATTTCAATGCGTTTGATAGAGACAAAACTAAAAAATTTGCTATAATATAAATAAAAAAAGTAATTATTTAAATAGTTTATAGTGACATGTTTGTTTCGATTATCGTACATAATGCAGATTGTATAATTTTTTCACCGTTGACAAAAATATCTCAAGGATTTCATGATTTAACATTTAATTGATTTATCATATAGATATGCAAATTATATAATTGGAAAAAATAATACAATAAAAAGTCAGAGAAAAAATAAATTTCTGATCTTGGAAAATCTGAAAAAGTGAGGAAATTATTTTCATCGAGTCTGCTGGACACCCTGAGAGAGTGCACGAGAGGAGAAAGAAAGGGGATGCCCGAGAAAAATATGTGTGTGTCGAAAGAGAGGAACGCGAGAGGAAGAGACAAGTAAGAGAGAAGGGAGCAAATAAAAAAAAAAAAAAAAAGAGAGAGAGAGAGAGAGAGAGAAAAAGGAGGAAGGCTCCGGCGGGGGCCGCTCGTCCATGAACGGAGGACACTGATCACATCCCTCTCGGACTGATCGGCTCTCTTTCTTCCTTCCTGATTCGCAGGTACGTCTTCACGATTGTCAGCTACTTGATCGGCGTCTTCATATTCGCGACCATCGTCGGCCAGGTTGGCAACGTCATCACGAACAGGAACGCGAACCGCCTCGAGTTCGAGAGGCTCCTGGACGGCGCCAAGACTTATATGAGGCACCACAAAGTGCCAGGCGGTATGAAACGCCGAGTGCTCAGGTGGTACGACTACAGCTGGTCACGTGGCAGGATACAGGGCGGCGGTGACATCAACACCGCTCTCGGTTTACTCCCGGACAAGCTCAAGACCGAGCTGGCGCTGCACGTGAACCTCTCGGTGCTGAAGAAGGTCACCATCTTTCAGGTGAGCCTCGTTTTTCCCACCTGCACTGAAAAGAAATTTCTTGACCAGACCTCTCGGCTAAATATTATTTTGTTAATTGGACATATACAAATATTTTAATTCAATATAACATATTGGTTCTTACGAAACAATTAAGAGGATCCTAAACGCCATCCTGGTTCATCGATAAAACATCATTTTTGCGAACTCTTTTCTTTTTATTAATTAAATAGAATAATAAAATCCTAAAATCGAAAAGCATTTCTAGTTGACCAATAAAAAGAAAAGGGTGCTCAAAAATGATGTTTTATCGATGAAACCGGATGGCGTTTAGGATCCCTTTATATATGTATTCAATTAACAAAATAATAATTTAATTGAAAGGTCAAATTAACAAATTTTTTTCAGTCTAGGAACGAACGCTTCTGAGACAATTATTTGTCGAGGCAAACATATTGAGAGATATCGATAACGATATCGAAACTTACTTGAAGCGTTTACAGGTAGAATATATTATATAGGATAACGAGAAGATACAGGAGATAAAGAGCATTGCAAGTCTCTTTCATTGCTTATAGTTCGGTTATTCATATTTGCAAGGAAATATCGTATTTGAAAATAGCGAAGCGATACTTTGTACTTAAAGCGAGAGGATTCGTTTATTCATGCGAAGCATATTATTTTCAAGATATGCTTTTGTTCCATTACTTTTAATTTAAAATGAGAAATGCTTTTACTTCTACCTTGTTATCTAGTTACGAATCTTGTTTTACCTAATGGTTGGATTTCTATCAACGCCCTTCTTTCTTCTGTGAAAAATTTACATCGACCGGATAACTTCCTCTTCTTGTGCGAGAGAACAAAGGAAAGATAGGGGAGAAAGAAATGATGGTACCGCGAAATCGCGAAAAAGCGAAGGTATGGAATTGGCTCAATAAGAGCCAAGTAGAGATACGATCGCTGTGGACGAAATATTTTCTCGATCATGTTCAAAGTTTTATCGTCGATGGTAAACGGAGAATCGAGGAGGGAAAAAAGTACAGAGAGATATTTTATTCACAGGAGAGATTCGCTTCTTGCGTGCCCGGATCTCCGTTAAAGAACAGATTTTGCGCGAATCTTTGCAACCTTTATTGTTCCAAAATATGATTTGCACGCACCGTCTGCTCCTATTTTTTCAATAAACTGTGTGCGAATTTGCTATTTTTTTTTACTAGAAAAACAGAAAGATATATAAGCTAAAAATTAATAATTTCCATCAACGTGGAACGAAAGATTACCTTATGAGTTATGAAACAAGACGAATTTATATGAGAGATGAAGCAGAACGGAATACTGAACAGTTTCAAACTAATGGAACGAGGGAACACGCTGAAATAAAAGATTAAAATAAAAATAGTTTTCGTAAAATAAATATTTTAGCTTCAAGCACGAATAAATACTCTAATGCACTTGCGCTTTTTCGTTTATTATTATCCAGAAATAAAAGCAAAATAGTTCGTTCCGGGTTAGTTTCACGTGACTCAATATATTTTTTATACAAAATATTTCTAAAACTATGTCAGAGATTTTAAGGGCGTATTCTAGCGGTCAAAATAAGATAAAAATGCTTTTCCTTTCGAGTTATAGTCCCCTAAAATTGGGAGAAAAAATTGAAAAATGTATTATAGTATTACAAATCGTTCAAATTTTGCATTGCATAGTAATTAGTAGCGAATACTTAATTTTTATGTGGTTTTGACAATTTGATCCGATTTTGAGAGGAAGATATGTTAATTTTTGTTTTTGGACCCATGTTTATAAGAACTTTTTCCCTTATTATTTTGACCTCTAGAATAGGCTCTTGGAATCTCTGACATGGTTTTAGAAACACTCTATATAATAAGTGAGTGCGATTTGCTGCGAAAATACGTCACAGGTTTTTCATGGGAAATACGATCTCGAGAAAGATTACAGACGCGGGACGTATATGAATCCCTGTTAAGGGAGCGACTCTGTTAAAGCCGGACAAATATTTGAGCGAAAACGTCGGTTTGTGTACCCTACCGTCCGAAGGGAAACTTTTGAAGAGAGTGCACGAGCGAGACTTTTTAAAGACTCGATAGCCATGTTTACGACACAGTTCAATTATCACGAATCTTCCCTTGTCTTTGTGTGTGCACGTTGTTCTTTCTGATTATGTGTTTCGAGTCTTTGTTACTTTAAGGGAATGTTGATTGTGTCTCTTTTATTGATAAATTTTATTTTTATTTAACTATTTTTTGGCTTTACAGAATGAAACATCTTTATTGGCTTTACAGAATGAAAACTAGAATTAAAGTATTCAAGTAACAAATCTGGGCTACTATATATGTATATGTATATAAACTGAAAAAACAAGAGAGCTATAAATAATTACAGTTTTCTTATCGGTCTTTTGCATTAGGTCGATCTAAGATTTAACTTTCTTGGTGTTTTATATAAATATATAGTAGTCCGGATGAATGCCTTAATTTTAATTCTAGTAAAGGATTTTTCATTTTTAATGTAACCAATAAAGATTAATAGTTAAATGAAAATAAAATTTTTTGATAAAACAGACAGCATCCCCTTAACTCTTTCGAACAAATCGAGAAGGGTTGGAGATAGAGAGCCTCAAGGAGAGAGAGGCGACAACTGGTCATGTGACCACTTACTCCTGATTAGCTGACTAATATGTGTTTTTTAGACATTGCGACGCCAATGCAGAACACACGTCACACATTTGAGGTTAGATGTTCTGCATTGGCGTCGCAATGTCTAAAAAACACATATTAGTCAGCTAATCAGGAGTAGGTGGTCACATGACCAGTTGTCGCCTCTCTCTCTCTCGTGTTCTGCGACGCCAATGCAGAACATACGTCACACATTTGAGGTTAGATGTTCTGCATTGGCGTCGCAATGTCTAAAAAGCACATATTATGCCAATCTTCGCTTCTCTCTTCTTGAGGCTCATCTCTAGTTGGAGATGAAGATTTTCTTAAGTTGTTCTTTATAAAAAAAAGCCTGCGCAGAATAAATATTCGAGAATAATCATAAGACGATCAATTCGATCACTCCGTAAGACACTTTACGGATTAAGAACGAGGACGTCTTCCTCGACGATCAGTTTGTACGCAGATCTTGTAGGAAGGGAAGAAGGGAGCAGGGTGATTCGAGAACTTTAATGTGAAGGAGATTTATCTCCGCGTAACGACTTAAGTTCCGCTATCGAACCAGTGGCAGCTTCTGTCGGTAATCGGTAAGCGCTCGAACGAACCCCTTGTAAATGTAAACACTTTTCCTTCCATTTTGAGGCCGGAAGCTTATAGTCGGATGAAAACGGGAAGAAAGAGAATGTAGGTGCAGAGAACTGCGCGCAAGAATAAGTATTTGGAAAGTTTGCCTGAGAGGATCTCGAAGGAGAGAGAGGCGGATATGACACTCGCAAGCTCTGCTAAGAGGGATTTCCCTTGATCAAGTTTTCGCATAGCATATAGAATTCTCGTTAAATTTCGGTTTTCTTGTTAAAATTTTTGTGCTCTTGTTGAAATTAAATATTTAACATATTCATGTGTTAATTCCACATATTGCTGTGTTAATTCTGTGTTAATTGAACTTAAAACTGAAAGAAGATAATGTAGAAATAAATGTGCATTTATTTTTAATTAGTGACAAGATTTATCTGTTAAAATTTACAGAAAAAAATGTTGATTTTTAATTTTATAAGTGGGCATGATAAACTCTGAAATTAACATATTTTTAGTTAAATTTTTACATTAAAATTATGTTAAATTTTTTTAATTATTTGAAATTTTGCATTTATTTTGTGTTAAAATATTAACACAATATTTGTGTCTCTATTTAACATATCTATATTATGTTAAATTAACACAAACATTTCTGCAGACTATTCGGAACATGTGATATCTGTTAAGCCTAACACAAATTTTTTAATTGTGCTTTTTTGCCTGAAATAAATTTACACTCGCGTAAAAAAATCGAGTAATTATATTACAATGTACCTTTAACATACAGTCGATATTTTTAAATAAAATTTGTGTAAAACTGCAACAGCGAAAGAGGGAAATGTAAAAAGAGTACAAGAGATAGATCTTAAAAAGTTAAGTCGCCGGAAGCTAAATGGAGCGCGCGTGATAAACCGATATAAAGAAAAGTGCTGTTGCGAAGGCATCTCGAGAACTCTTGGTGAGGAAGAAATCGAGAAAAATTACGACGAATCATATATCTCTCATCTGAGAAATTTCAACTACATTCGATGGTGTGGAAACTTGTCGAGAGATGGAATCTATTGTTAATTAGGGCTATGCAACTCTTGGGTTGACTCTCCTCTTCTTCTCGTATAATCAAAGAGTAAAAGTAATTAAAGTTGTCGAACATGGTTCAGCATCTCTTCGTGATAGATTATTGCGAAGAACAAAGTAAAAGAACTTTGCAACTTTTACTTCAATTCTCTTGCTTATTTGTAACTTGCGCACTTTAATAACGCAATATTATTTATCCTTAATCCTTCTCTGGATATTTTCGATAGATTTTTCGCGTCTTTGAAAAAAAGCATATTTTATTTTATACATTACATTTATTCTTTCATTGCCATATTTTTTAGATAATTTACAAATTGTAATACAATTAAATTTACACAATTGTGGATAATTTAATGTTGTAGAAACAATTAAAGATAAATCTATAAATTTTGAAAGGGAAATTGATAAAAGTAGATGAAATTGATTTACACACTTCGCCTTTCTTAAAAATTATAAAATATCCCACGATATTCTTTCTTAAATTCCACGAGCAGGAAATATCTTGGAAGATTTATTGTGTGTAGGCAATGATTAATATCGCGATAGTAAATGATTTATCGCGTAAGTGCATTACACCATCTCGCGTAATTTATATTACGCGCTTAGACTTGGACAAATTTTTGCCAACATTCTCTAACGCAATAATAGATAAATATGATTTTCTCAATACATTATAACTTATTACTTACGAACGCGCAA